CTTTTGTAATACTGATTTTTTGGAGAATGTGTATTTAAAAAGTAGGAAATTTTTTTGGACTAAAGGGTAAAATTATTTTATTGAGAGAATGTGAGGTTGAAAATGAGTTGGTAAAAAAATAAGTTTTTAAAGAATGGGGCTCTAGTACTTGTGATGATATATGCCCATGTTTGAACCCCATTCTTGTAAGAAAATGTGTTTGGAATAATGATTTTTTTTAAGAACGTGTCATTAAAAAATAGAAAAATTTTTTGATTTACATGTAATATTATTTTATAGGAGAATGTGTTGTTAAAAATGATATTGAAAAAAATTAGTTTTTGAAAAAATAGGGACCAAACATATGCATAAAATTATTCCTTAATCAATTCTACATTTACATATGTATTTTGACCACACTGTTTAGATGTTGGCTTGAACGATAGTCTGCATTCATGGCCTCCTCATAATTCTGAAATTGTTCTTTGGCACTTTCTAGAATCCCTCTTCCAAATTATTTCTATAATTGCCATGGTTTACTTGTCAATTTGTTCAAGCCAATATTTAAAAATCTGATCTAGATTCATATGTATGTATAAATAGCCGAACTCACGTTTTAAATAATATAGGAAAGAAAGAGGTAGAATAATATAATTTATACTAGAATTTGAAAGAAATACTTAAAAATACCTAAAATAAATGCAATTATCCTTTTTATTGGTGAGAATTGTAATAAACAATAAAAATATACTTCTCATGTTGTAACAAACAGTAGAAATTTTTCCTCTCGTACATGATACTAATCAAATATTAGAATATCTATTTGGTTAAGACTCTAAAATCTATGACTTAACTCAAAAAGCGCTACACAAAATTGATGGAGTCAATAGAAGCAATAGAACATGAGCAGTCAATACGAAATTGATCGAGTTCAGTATTGAGCAGTTGAGATTTGTTGGATGCCACGAAGTGTGTGTGATAGGCTTTCATATTCGCCACCTCCATCTATCTAGGTTGTCTTAATGAAAGTGCTGAAAATTTTTCTACCAGCCTATTTAATCGTTTGAAAATTGTAGGCACTTTTGATTTTAATTGAGGGAATTGAATCAAGTATATTTAATGTAATAATCAACAAAAATTTATATGAAGTAATTGGTGCACGACCCCGAATATCAGAAAATATTATATCAAGGGGTTTAATGAAAAATAAGGATGACATTTTTAATAAGTGACTTCATTTTGTGTGTTTATTGATTATTTTAGGAGAAAACTTGATATCGGATGAAAAATGATTAAAAGGAATGAGATTTGATCAATTAGGATTGAAGTTGTACGAATTCTAAAATTCAGGTATCAAAGTGACGAGTATGGAAGTGGAGGAGGACTTGGCGGAACGGGAAAATGGATTCAGTGACTAAATTGCACAGGACTCAAAATTTGACACATGATCGCAAGGACCATGAATCGTGGTCACAAGGCAAGGCATTGCAAAGCCAGTAACCAAATATGGAGAACCGTGTGATGACACGGTAGAATGTGTATGAAAGACATGTTTGATTTTCATTAATTTGAGAAAATGGAGCTTTGTAAAGTGATTTTTTTTTTTTTTTTTTATTTATTTTATTATTTTATTTTTTTGTTTTGTGCAGTAGGAAAAGTTTAAAATTTACGTGTAAATTATTTTATTAAATAAGTGTGCAGTAAAAAATGTGCATGAGAATCAAAGAATTTTGATAAATGATTGTCAAATAGGGACTTGACTATATGATTGCACCTTGAATTTTCATTCAATGCTCGATAGCTGTTTTTACTATGAGAAAATTTAATTTTCTCAGGAAATAAAAATTAAATATTAAATATAGTAATTTGGGTGTATAAGGTGGTTGGTTATTAAACATTTCCATTTATGGGAAAATTTATAAATTATTTTTGTAATTATTATTCATTTTCAATCATGCATTTCAATGAATCTATGAATACTATTTAGTATTTACTTATCTATCACTCATTTCTATTTATTTATAAATTAAAATGTTTATAAATTCTTCCCAAATGGAGGTTTCCGTCACTACTTGGACGTTTTTCCACCTAGAACTATCATTAATTACAAAAGTGAAAACATTCCTTTAGACGTAAAGTTTTAATTACTAAGGACTCATCTGACAGAATTTCTACTACTTCTACATTAGTAGAAGATCTTTTTGTGGAAGTCATCTTGAGCTAATTTTCTATAGAAATTCTTCTAACCAAACTGTCATATTTGTTCTCTTATATATCCACTATTCATGGTTCACGTCTTTTGTACGTCCCACACCCAAATATATTAATTGACTTGTCATTGAAGTGCATGCGGCCGTCTCCACCACCTTTGAAGAAGGTCACGTGTTCCACTTTAACATATTAATCAATGGGTTTTGACAAAGCCTATGAATATTATTTCGATCTAACTAGTCATCATTGTCCCGAGGTTTATTCGGTATCAAAATACCCGATGGATACCTTACTAGCTTTTGTTTGATTTTTGGATTATTATTGGAGTGTTGAATTATTAGTCAATTATTATTATTTTTTGCATGGCAGAATCTATTAATGAAAGACAAACCTCCTCCCAAAATAAATAAATAAATAAAATAAAGAAAGGAAAAAAATGACTTCTTTTTGTTCTTTTTAAGGGTAGACCAATCTAGTGAAAGTGCACTCTACATTGAAAATTGCTTCAAAAAACAATATACTATAATATCCTTTATATCATGAATTTTTTTTTACTTTAAATTTTTTAAATTTCAGCCACTCAAGACTAAATTCCAGGATTCGCCATGAATTATGGTGTCTTCTATCCAATTAAAATACCTTGGAGGGCCACTATTTTATTTCGTGTTTATCTATTGTTGGATTATTGAGTTTTCAAAGTTAAGCGACTGAAAAACAAAGCGAAGAACACGACTCATGCAGTAAAGAAGGCAAAGGTATTCGACACTAGAGATTCGACAATTGATCTTACGGCATGTTACCTTTAATGTGTTTAAGGTGATCAAATATTCATCTGAGTCTGTTTCCTATTTTAAGATTTAAGTCTTGTTTGGTTCCCATTCTTTTCTCATTAAAAATAAAAAATATGATCGTTATCCATCATATCAAGTCATCAAATTTAAATTTTTATCTCTTGTGTGGGGTCCGTAACGACTAAATTTTTTATTCTCATTCTTCTAAAAATGAGAAACAAACGGGGGCTTAGTGTCTTTTACAGTTGAGCATCCAGCAAAACCACTTGAAACATGCATAATACAATCTGACTTTGCAAAGTCAAAAAATTCAAAAATTGAAAAGCGTGCCCATTTAATCTATTCTAAAATGAAGCTATACTTCATAGAAGTTGGGAAGGGTGTACAACCCCAAATAATTTTAAACACTTTAGTGACACTAAGACATGAATATTTGATGGCTAAAGTATACTTCAGATTTTTAATCTCATTTGAGACCTATTTACGACAAAGAAAACATTCGATTTGGAAAATGATATTTCAAGAAAAATTGTAGCTCTTTGAGTTAGCTTTCCAACGCATTTTGAATTACCTCAATCGGATATCAGGAGAAGAAGTTATGATAGAAATACTAAAGACTGTACAGTATCAACCGAAGTACGCGGAATATGAAAAGTAAAATTCTTACACGATTTTTTAGGACCTTATCAAACCTATAACTCCCACATAAATGATACCCGTATTAATGAGTATTAGGCCCTTCACTTGCCCTTAAGTTGTGAGATTTTCACCTATAAATAGGCCACAATGCATACACATTTTCACAACAAGACAAAAGCTTCTAAGCTTAAAAGAGAGAGTTTTCAAGTCTAGAAAAAAGAGAAAGGAGAGGAAGGAAAATTAGTTTTTCCTAAAAGTTTTGGTGCTATCAAGAAATATTTTCCAAGCATCAATTCTCAACGGAATTTTTTTTTTTGAAACATCAAAGGAGTGCATTTTTAAACAATGTTCAAAGCATCAATCAAGGTAGGTAGAGGTGCAAAGTATTAATTCGTGTTAAGTTATAAGTTTCTAGCAAATGAAGATTTATGTTAATGTTTGTATGTCTAATGGTACCTCCAGGTACGGCATGTACTTCCGATTGAGGCGTCGTGTTAAGTCATGACTTTACGTGTTTGAGATTCTACTGGAAATCCTGCTATGAAAAGGTTTCTAAAGTTATAGTTTTGAAATGTATAGCTTGATCACGAATGCATCAATGATATCTATTGAGTATTTTTAACTCACGGGTTTAACCCATTCTCTACAAATTGATATGATTTTACTTTGGGCCTGGATAATGGAAAAGATGGAGAGTGGTGCAACGAGCCCATGGAAAACTCGATTAACAAGTTATTTAGATTTATTTTTGTGAACGTTTTCAATATTATTTCTTTAAAGTATTTGAATAACGCTGAACGCGAGAACAAATTATGTTTTCTTCAAATAAATTACGTTCCGTTATTTTTTTATTCAGTATTTTATTTAAAGTATTCGAAAGGTTGTTGTTAAAATTATAATTGTAAAAATTAAACTTCCGCTAAAACATATTCTCCTATGACTAAACCACCGGTTAGCTAAGTAAAGTAAGTAGCGTTCCGGTCCACAAGGGGTCGGGGTGTTACAGCGTGGTATCAATGCACGGTTTAGCTAGTTCTGTAGACCAAGTATGTTTTTTTTTAAATGAAAAAGTCTAAGATACTCCATGACATCTTGCATCCATCCATCAATCTCATCATATAGCCCAAGTATGTTCAAAGTTAATGTTTTCATGAAAAGACTATGTTATGATGCTTTGCGATGCTATAGTACAACTTATGCTTATTTTTAAAGATATACTATGCCAGTTAGAAATGATTTGAAAGCTGTGTTTGTTTTCAAAAGATACGTAT